CCCTCTCTGTGTGAGATCTGTAAAGCAGATGTAGGAGTAGGACCTAGGAACAAAGGGCTCAGTATGCGTTTTCTTTCTGGTTTCCTGTGTGCATCTGGAATCCAGCCTTCCAAGCTTCCAGCCCCCCAGGCCTCCCTTCCCCCCTCAGTGAGCATAACCTTTTCTTTCCTGGGGGACTTCCACCCACACATATCCCTTCTCTGCCATCCTTTCAGAGATGTCCAGTTTTACCCTAGTCTTGAGATCTGGATCTTGCTAATTACCGTTGTGTTTCATATTATCTCTTTGTAACCAAACTAGTCTGTGCCCAGTGCCTAATGCAGTTCAGTTTCAGTATGTGGACCCCACTGTCCGGGTGCCTGGATTTCCTTTATGAGTGGGGTCAGGGAAATCAAACAGTTGGGTTAGGCCAGGATCAAGGTTAGGTGAGGCAAGACAAGAGGAGGTCAAGGGCTTAAAGCAGTGGTTGGCAAACTCATTAGTCAACAGAGCCAAATATTAACAGTACAACGATAGAAATTTCTTTTGAGAGCCACATTTTTTAAACTTAAACTTCTTTAATGCCATTTTTTCAAAATAGACGCGCCCAGGCCATGGTATTTTGTGTGGCTCTCAAGTGGCCAAAGAGCCGCATGTGGCTCGTGAGCCGCAGCTTGCTGACCCCGCGCTTAAAGGATGCTGGGATGTCAGTAAAAGCAAGATAGAAGTGGTACAGGCTGGGTGCCAAAGAGGCTTTTCCTCCTTAATTCTCAGCAGTCTACCTGTTATCCTGCCATATTCTGAAATGTTCTCCAGGATCATTAGTAACCAATTTATTAGACCCAATGTTCCCTTCCTCTCTTCCTATTTTCCTAGACATTTTAGTAGTATTTCATATCATTGAGGAGGAAAATAGATTAGACATCTAGCTACTATTTGTCTTCTCCTTGGCTAAGAGAACATGTGACTTGGAACTGTCCTCTGTGATGTGGGGTGGCCCGGTGTGCTGCGGAAGGACTGTGTGCCCCTGCCATTGTCTGGCCATGAGACTCCGAGTGACCTTTGGCTTCTGAGACTCAGTCCATCACCTGTAGATGGGAGGCAATGGATTCTGTTTTGCCTGCATGACGGGTGCATTTTGGAAGGAGACAGTGTAACACATGTTAGTGTACATAAATAAATTTGCCCCAGAGGAGGCCCTAAGAACAAGACTTACTTTCTCCTAATGCTTTCAGTCTTCCTTCCCATCCCCCACCCAATTCTGTTAATGTTTTCAATCATCATTCTTCCATTACTCATGCTTGAAAACTCCCACATTTATTCATTCATTCACTTATTTGTGCATTCCTTTATTTATGCAGCATTTATTTATCCCTACTGCGTTGTGTGCTTGTCATCATTGATGTACCCTCTCAGTCACTATGAAGATGATGTCAACAATTCCTTGAGCACATATTCTCTGCCAGGTCCTGTGCTAAATGCTGTAGTTCAGTCTTAGTGAATCCTCACAACATCGCTGTGAGGTGGGCATTACTTTCCCCTTTTTACAGGTGAGGTAACGGGCTCTGAGTTAAATATCTGACCAGAGTCATACAGGTGAGGAAGTAGAACCAAAACTGTAGCCAGGTCTCTTCTCCAGAGCCCATGCAGGCCCGCTGCCTCTTATCCCATGTGTCATCTTTTCGTCTTCCCAGGGCTTTTTGCTACTGCCTCAGATGGGCCCCTTTCCTCTATCTCTGACTCTCTCTCACCTGGTTCGGACCCTCCTCACCCTTTACTCATTATTGCAGGAGCCCCCGTGCTGTTACCCCAGCTTTACCAAGTTGCTCCTGTCTCCGCTCCATCCACTGAGCCACCAGCTTGATCTTCCTAAGGTAGTTTTCATTATGCTCGTCCCCTGCTCAGGAAGAGACTGGCTTCCTGTTGTCACTATCAAGTCCATCTATCTCCACATGATGTTAAACCCCCTGACTATCCATACTTACCTCCTAGTATATCTCAATATTAATGTATTCATTTAGCCAATAAATATTTGACTCCATGAGCTAAGGGTGATGGGATCATAAAGAGAAAGAGTTGTGGGCTCCATTTTAAAAGGCTTGTAGTTTAATAGACGAAGTCATCTTGAATTCTTTTTTTTTTTTTTTTAATATATTTTATTGATTTTGTACAGAGAGGAAGGGAGAGAGATAAAGAGTTAGAAACATTGATGAGAGAGAGTCATAGATCAGCTGCCTCTTGCACACCCCCTACTGGGGATATGCCCGCAACCAAGGTACATGCCCTTGACTGGAATCGAACCTGGGACCCTTCAGTTCCCAAGCCAACGCTCTATCCATTGAGCCAAACCGGTTTCGGCTCATCTTGAATTCTTCACTTCAGTTCAGTTAGTCTTCTTTGATATTCCCTAGTGAAAGAAAATTGTTTCTGTCTCTACTCATACTGTGTTCACCATTTAAAGTGTTTGTAGATCTTTCCTCTCAACATATCCAAAACACCGCCTAAAATCTGAGGCATAGTCAGGCATCCCTTTTCTTTCTAGCTCATCTTTTTCCTGTCTGCAAACCTTATAATATTGATTGTGTAGATATTTTATTTTAAGACTTAGATACCATCTGTTGCTATGTCAGGTGAGTTTTTTTGTACTTTTGCACTTTTTACAAAGCAGTTTTATGTGTTTTGTCTTATTGGAGCCTCATAACATTAATTAATATAGATAATTATTCCCGTATTATAGAAGCAGAAACAGCCTCCAATAGGTTAGGTGGCTATATATACCTGTGTGGCTAGTGAGCTGTGGATCTCAGCTCTTAGAATTTCTGAAGGCCGTGTGTCTGGAGGAAGAGCAGGCCAGGAAGCCTAGAGACAGGTGACAACAGGATGTGCGGAGGGTTTCAGTTTAGGCTTCAACTGCAGTTTTGGCTCCATTCCTCACCTTCTGTGTAACGCCAGGAAAGTGGTTCAGTTCTCTGAGCCTCAGTTTCATTCTCCCTGGCCTGCCTTTCCATGATGTTACTGTGATGTCCAAATATGATAATGTTGTTATCATATTTGTTACTGATATTAGCTGACTTTTGTTGGATACTTACTAAATACCAGGCAATATCTTTTTTTGTGTGTGTTAATCCTCACCCAAGGATATTTTCCCCATTGATTTTTAGAGAGAGTGGAAGGGAGGGGGAGAGACACACAGAGAGAAATAACGATGTAAAAGAGAGAGACACATCGATTGGTTGTCTCCTGCTCACGCCTGGGGATTGAGCCTGCAACTGAAGTAAGTACCCTTGACTAGAATTGAACCTGGAACCCTTCAGTTCGTGGACAGACGCTCCAAACACTGAGCCAAACCAGTCAGGGCCAGGCAGTGTCTTAAATATTTTACATGGATTATCTCGGCTAGTCCTCACAACAGCTCTTTGAGGTATGTTCTTTGATTTTTCCCAATGGAAAGATGAGGGAATTGAGGCACAGAGCTGTTAAGTGGCTGGACCAAATTTATGTAGCTACCAGGTGGTGAAGCCAGGAATTAAACGTAAGCAGCCTGAGTCTGAAAGCAGAGTGCTCTGTGGACGGTAAAGTGTTCTGAACATGTTAAGTCCATGCTGCAAGGACCTGCATGGCCCCGTCCGCCTGTGCAATGGTGTTTAGGGAAGAAAGGAGGCAGCGTGGAGATCTTGCAAGAGAGGAGAAAAGTGGTCTCCTGGGGGGTCTGGCCAGGGCTAACAGTTTGGAGGGGTGTTTGGGGCTTCAGACCTGGCTGTTGGCTGTCATTCTACTCTCAAGCTCCCTGGCCTGCCCTAGAGGGTGGAGCAGAGGAAGACCCAGGGAAACCCAGGTCAGACAAGGCAGGTCTCTGTCTCTAGGCCCAGCGGGTCCTCACCTCACCCAGTGGAGCCATCGGTCAGACCCCAGGCCAGCCTTATTGGCTACTTCGTGGCAGCGACCCTGGTCTGTTGGCCCTCACCCATGTCAGATGGGTAAAATGCGTGAAGCAGTATCGTTACATAGTCCTCTGGAGGCGGTTTACTAGAATTCACCATCTTATTAAGCATTTTTTCATTAAAAAGTAACACATGGCTAAAAGCACTTTGTGAACTAGTACTGAAGTGTAGAAAATGAACCATCTGATCATTTTTGTTAAGGAGATGCCTAGGAGGCAAGGCCAAGTACACGGGGACAGGTGGTCGAGGTAAGCTGGGCCTTGTGCTTTTGACCACACCCCAGGAATCCAGGTGAACTAGATAATCTGGAGGTTCAGAGTTTGGCCCTTACAATAACCCGAAGGGAGCAGAGTGACTGGCAGTCTTTGCCAGCAAGGTGGGACTGGGGTATTGACTTGCTTTGCTCTGTGCGTGAAGTTGCCTCTGCTATTACCCTTCCTCTGCTATCACTGGCTCCTCTGCCCAGTGTGAGATTCAAATTCAGACCCTACTATCATGAGTCTGGACCCTGAGTCAGAGTTTGCAGGGGGGAGGGAGAAGAGCACCAGGAAGGGGGTAAATAACCCTGATGTTGGCTGTGTGGAGGCCCTGGCAGTTGTTGCTTTCAGGCCTGCCAGGCCTCCCATCCTGGGGGGCAAGTGTGCTGTGGGGGTGTAGGAGGAATGTCAGGGCTGCACTCTGGAGATGAGTGCTGAGGGTCTGTGGCTGGGTCTTGCCTCATAGTCTCTGCCCTTCTTGTCTGGCCCAGGTGAAGCATGGGGGCACTAGGACCCAGATGCTAACACAGTCCCTGACAAGTCTAGAGCAGCACTAGCGCAGAGTGAGACTCATCAGCTGGCAAGCAGGATTCCTGTCTCTGGGCTCAGGAATCTTCGGGCAGCAGAGGGGACTTGCTCCTCAGTCCCCACCTCTGTCCCCACCCGTGTCCCAGCAGGTCCATGGACTGGGGTGGGCCACGTCTGATGGCTTCTGTGTCTGTCCACGAGGGCCTGGGGCCCTGACCCTTCGCCTGGGTTTCTGCCTTTTCTCTCTGTCTTTGGTCAGCCGGGGAGGGGGTAGAGGCCAGGCCTGGGGAGCGACATGGCCCAGAGCAAGAGGCACGTGTACAGCCGGGTAAGTGGCCCTGATCTGCGATGGCCCTGGGAAGGCTGCTGGGAAAGGCCTGGTGCCTGTGGACATGGCTGTGGGGGCTGGGGAGACGGGCTGGAGCTGGGACGGGGCCACTCGCAGCCCTGATGGTTAGGCTGGACCGGCTTCCCTCCCGGAGCTGGGGCAGGCGAGGCCCACCCTTTGGCTTTATTTGGACCCCAGGGCAGAGGTTGCTGATGGGGAATAGACAATCTTTGTGGCTGTGAATGGGGTCGGTGGGCTGGAATGGCTTTATATGAAGCCTTTCTTTAGAGCCGCTTTGTTGTTTGTCACTTCCTTTCTCTCTTCTGGCTGTGATTGAATCAGTACCACTGTGTGTCCCCCTGCATCGGAGCGGCTTTTTAGGGTTCGGAGGTCGGGGAGCGTCTCTAAGTTTGGGGCCAGCCTTGGTGTCAGTGTCAGTTCCTTTCATTGATAGGTCTGTGAGAGGCACCCTACACACCCCAGGAATGATTTGGGGTCTAGGAGCCCCTGGGAGCTCACCTTCCTCACCTCCCTGGCTGTGCTCTTCGGAGAAGGGAGTTAGGGAGTGACATGCTCTTGCAGGGCTCCCTTCTGGAGCCAAGTGAAGGCATCAGGAGGGAGCCCTGTGGAGTCCTGAGGACCACAGTGTCACTTCTTCACACCTCCTTCACTTGTGTGCTGCAAGGCCCTGGTTCATGGGGCTGCTATCGCCGAAAATGGCTCAGGTGTGATTTTCTTCTCAACCATGGCCTGTTTGGAACCTACTTTCAGTTGTGTCCTGTCATCATCACTGGTGTGGCAGAGACAAGAGCTTCCCAAGGACAGTGTTTAGTCTGTTCCTGTGCGTTGTGCATCCTCGGGGCGCTAACTGTCCATTTGGACTGCTGGCCAGTCTCGGGGGTGGTGTGCAGATCCGAGGAACCTGATTTCCCTGGCCTTTGTTTTACTTTTTAGTAGCAACATACCGTGGGGGGAGAGAGTTGAGGAACAGTGCTAGGGCAGGAAGAAGGGAGTTCAATGGTTCAGTGGGCTGCAGTGAAGCAGCCTGGAGTGTCATGGCAGGTGTGTGGCTGGGGGTCAGGAGAGTCAGGTCAGAAAGGATGGTGGTAACTTGAGGACTGGAAGAGAGAGGCCTAGAGAGCTGTTGAAACAGAGGGAAGACAGGCGACAGTGGGGGTGGGGATGGATGTCCGGGGGATTATTTACTGAATCACCCATCTTTCCAGCTCAGGCTCCCGAGTCAGAGCTTTGGGTTGTGGGGAGCCTGCTCTAAATGGAGGTAGTATTTGCTTGAGTTTCACACCCTTCTTCAGTGTTGGGGGCAGTGCTCCTGAGAAAGCAGCCATGTGGTGACATTCACAGATCTGTCAATAAATTCTGATTTGTTATAGAATCTAAATATAAACTCCTAAAAATTCTGGCAGATTTCAGAAGAGTTTAGAGAAGTCTTAGAAGACTTTTTGTCAGAAGGGAATTTGGGGTCCACTTCACCCTGTAAGTGGGGTATGGGGTACTGGGAAGTGATTCTTGGTCCTTCTTCAGCTCAGGGTCCTGCCTGGGGTCCTTCTTACGCATTAGGAAGACACCTTTGAGGGCTTTAACTGTGTATGTTTGCACGTGTCTTTCAGACGTCCAGCGGCAGCAGAATGAGTGCAGAGGCCAGTGCCCGGCCTCTGCGCGTGGGCTCGCGTGTGGAGGTGATTGGAAAAGGGCACCGAGGCACTGTGGCCTATGTTGGAGCCACACTCTTTGCCACTGGCAAATGGGTAGGCGTGATCCTGGATGAAGCAAAGGGCAAGAATGATGGAACTGTCCAAGGCAGGAAATACTTCACTTGTGATGAAGGGCATGGCATCTTTGTGCGCCAATCCCAGGTACTCACACCCTTCTTCTGTGTGTGAACACACATGTTCACATGCTCTGTTGCATGTGCAGCTAATGTGTTGGTGCTCCCTATTCCTGGGCATGAACATAAGTCTCTGGTTGAGAGAGTGGGAGGTAGTGGGGGAGGTAAGATTGAAGATATACCCTTATCTTCTGCCCTGTACACCAAGCTTGCTTGGGGTCTGGGGAGGGCACCATATCACAGCGTAACATTCTTAATATGGCTTTATTGAATCTATTTTGTGGCCTCAGATCCAGGTGTTTGAAGATGGAGCAGATACAACTTCCCCAGAGACACCTGATTCTTCTGCCTCAAAGGCCCTCAAAAGAGGTAACAACCACCCACTTATGTTGCCACTCCACATCCAGGAGTCCATAGTGGCCACAGTGGATCCTGAGATTTTTTTCCATCATCACCATCTTTTATTGTTATAACTTTCCTATCTGCCATAATGTTCTCTTGCTTTCTACAGAGGGAACTGACTCAGCTGCAAAGACCAGCAAACTGGTGAGTAGTTGGGGTGGGAGTGAGAAGTAATAGAGAGGAGAGGGAGGGAAAAGAGAGGGGAGGGAGACCCAATGTCAGGCAGGTAGAAGCCATAGGTGAGTAAGCTGAGTTAGCCTTCCAGTCTCCATCCTCCCTGGAAAGGAAGCTTTCTGGGTCTGAGTTGCTGTTTTAGGAGTGAGTAAAGGTGGAACAACTATTAGGGCCCAGAAGTTCAGCAAGAAACAACTATTAAGGCCCAGAAGTTCAGGGTCAAATGGGACCTGGGCTAGGGGTGATAGGAAGGACAGGTCTGACCCTAGTATGCTGTTGTCAACTTCCTACCTTTTGGTACCCAAGGCTGCCAAGATTTAAGAGGTCTGGGGAAAGGGTAAGGGAGGAGCTAGAGGAAGAAGGGGCTTCCTGTTCACAAGTGAATGGTAAGGAGCCGGGCCCTCTGCCACCTGTTTTAGGCGGTATGCAGAGGGCCCCTCCTAGCTCCCTTTTGCTGCTCCGCACGAGGTGTGTGAGGGGGGCTCAGACTAACTCCCTCTTTGCCTGTGCATGCCTGCATTGATATTAATACCTACACTCCGAATGTTTGACCGGTTAGCCCAGTGTGACGTCTGTTCTCTAACTCTTCCCTTTCCTACTCCTCATGCAGCGGGGACTGAAGCCTAAGAAGGTGGTGTGTTTACTATTTGTGCCTGGGTGGGTGAGGGCCATGAGCCCCCTCCCCAGCTGTCCTGCATGTCTCAGGCTGCTGCATGCATGTGTGTGTGACCTTGGCTGGGCTGGCCAGAGGACATGGCGGCCTTGTCTTTCAGAGTGCTTTTGAGGGCTGCAAGGATATCAGGCTCGGTGTCGAGGCCCAGGTAGCATTCATTAGGACAGTTCCTCACTTCCTCATCTCAGGACTTCCAGTCAGAGACTTTGATCACTTGACTATAAATAGCAGCAGCATGGACTGGAGCCTTCACTGGGTTACAGTGGGCTCTTCAAGCTTGGGGCAGTGGGAGGAGAGATTGGAGGGCGGGGGATGCGGAAAGTACTATGTGAGGTGGTTGGGCAAGAAGAGGGGGAAGTCAGATCACAGTAAGACCATCCCAGGGTGGAAAGCCAGAGAGTCTGTGCCTACTTCTGGGTGGGCACTGCCATGATGCCCACTTTCACTCCGTTCCACCAGTCTTTCCCTGCCTCCTCTTTCCTCTGATGTTGTGCCCGAGGCCCACCTTCTACCCCTTGCATCAACATTGGAGTGGGGCTCAATTCTTCAGTTGCTGCCATGGCCATTTCCTTACACCAGCCCGTGCCGTGGGCCCATGCCCAGGCTGTTCTCTGACCTGCATGTGCCTGTCTGACCTGTATGTACTGTGCTGTATGTGCAATTCTGTGATTTCCGTGTTGCCAGCCTTTTGACCTTAGGCCCTTTTGACCTTGCATGGAAAGCTATTGGACGGGGGACAGTGGGAGGGGAGAGGAAAACATCTCCCTTCAACTCTTGGTTGGTGATGGATCCTCACTTTGAAGTCTTGGCATCGAAGAGACCACATGCTGGTACTTGCTTTGGGGTCTTGGCTCTGGTGGAATGGGGATGTAAGAAGGAAAACAATGCTCTAAAGGACCTATTCCAAGGTCATGGAAACTTGGCTTCTTCCCTTGATGATTGTCTCCTGGTTGGGGCTCTCCTCTCACATCAGGCCTCTTGAGTAGAGAAGAGCATGGCCCTGTAGTCTGATGTCTATGGAGGAGTTCTGGCTGCAGCCTGACCTGATATCGGTGGGGCCTGAGCCATGCCCAGATCCTGGGGGAAATGTGGCAAAGCTCATCTGGGCTGCCTGAGCTGGGATATAGCCTCTGCTCATGGTGCAATGTCAGTCAAGTCCCCCCCAGGTCTCCCTCTCCAGTGTCCTCTCACAGCAGCTCACTTAGCCAGGGAACAGGGAGCTAACTCCAGAACAAAAGAACATACTGTGAGAGGGAGGGCAGAAGAGAACCCAGATGTGTCTGCAAGGTACCCAGTCCGTCGTGGAAGGCCTTTAGAGACAGGCTTTACCCTGCCTGCAGCCAGGGGAGGGTCATTAAAGCTGCTGCTGAAGGTCCCGGGATTTCTGAATCTCACTGTGTGCCCGCAGAGCTGATGCCAGTTGCAGGAGGGGTGCGTGCGTGCGTGCATGCGTGCGTGTGTGTGTCTGATGAGAAGAGAGAAGTAGAGTTGATGGGGTTGCAGGCTGAGGGGAGGTTGAGTATGAGCGAGGTTGATGGAGCAGTGATCCCTACCCAGTGATGCACTGGCCCCAGAAGGTACTATTTCTGGAATGGCCCCCAGTGCAGTTTCTTGGAACAGACAGTTGGGGATGGTCGTGGAGGGGAGAGGGAGGAGCCACACACGTGCACACAGAAGTACACACATTTCAGAAGGAGGAAGAAGCAGGGCGGGCTCTGCGCAGGACTTTGTCCAGTCATGAGGAGGAGGAGGAGGAGCCTGCGGAGTCAGGCGGTTGCTAGGTGACCGAGGAGCAGTGGCTCCACCCCCAAGGAGCAAAGGAGGGTGGGTGCATGACGTCAGGTGGAGCTGGTGCTGCGGCCACTGAGGCTGCCATAAGCCTAAGCTGGAGAACTGGGCCGGCGCCCCTGTGGTGCCCGCAGGAGCCTGGTGGCCGCCCTGTGCATCTGTGGGGCTTCTGCATCCGAGTCACAGCCATTTGCGGGCCGGGAAGCTGCTGGCCGGGAAGCTGCATTGTTGGGATTTGATGCACTAATCTCCTGTCTCCGCCGCCTTTCCCTCTGTTCGGTCTCTTTCCCTCCCATCCTCTGTCTGTCCTTCCTCTGTGTGTCCATCCTCCTCTGTCTCGCCTCTTTCCTGTCCTGGCTTTCTTTGGTTTTCTGCAATGATGAGACAGGCACCGACAGCCCGAAAGGTACTCTTGCTTGTTCTGGTCCTGCTGCCGGGTTGCCAGGGTGATGGCAGCAGGCTGCTGGGTGGGGGTGGGGACTTCATCTGTCTACCTGGTTGGGGAGGAGGGTAGAAATGACGGTGGGGGCTGGGAGAGGTGTGTGTCCCTCCCATGGCCCGTGCCCTGAGCATTCTGCTCCCTGCCCCGCCTGCTTGGGGCTCTGAGTCTGTGTTCTAGGCCTTGTACCCAGTGGCCTTCAGGCTTGGGGTTCAGGCAGTTTCTGCTGCAAAGCAGCTCTGGGAGCTTCCTGTGAGAATCGGGGGAAGCAGGTTCAGATGTCTCCCTGCCTCCAGCAGACATACTTCCCCTGACCTTTGCTAGAATGACTCTTGGTTGTACTCCCAGCAGCACCCTTCCCCCCACCAGGGCTCGTATCAGTGGGCTTTCCCAAGATGGGATGAAGACCTTAGAATAATTTTTTACCTACAACCTGCCATACAGGTTGTAGGTAAAAAACCTGCCTTACTTACAACCGGAGGCTTAGCTCAGGGCAGGAGGGTGGGGGTTGGTTTTCTTGGGCTCAGTGTCTCCTACAGATGGGCCCACTGGGTAGCAAGAATGCTGTTTGGGGTTGAAGTTCATCTATTTACTACTCTGCTGTAGCCTGAGGGATTGTAGACTTGGTTTCAGCAGTAGTTTATGTATGCTGCTGTCAGCCCCTCCTCCTTCCTTGCAGCAGGGTGGGGTTACTTTGCTGAGCTCTGGGCTTCTGGCTAATGCAGCACTCATGGACCTGACACCTGAGCCCTAGCCCTGGGGATGGAGACTGCTATAGGGTCAGCTCCTGGGCAGGGGGCAGGGTGGGGGTAGGGACGACAGCAGTGCTGTTCTGCCTTGGCGGCCTGATTTCCTCTGTTGGGATAGTATCCCTCACCTCTGGCCTCCTGTCACCAGTCTTGTCACATGTCATTTCTAGGGGATCCCCTCTGGAGCCCAGCACTTGAAAGAAGGAGGTTGACCGGGCAAAGTCCTTGGGAGTGGTGGGTGGGCAGGGCCTCTGGCTCTGGGCTAGGCTGCCAGAAGTTGTTTTCAGAAGGCCTGGTCTCTGGAGACCTTTTCCACCAGCTGCTGCCTTTGGTCCCCTGTGGCTCAGTCAAGGAGAATGGGGTTCTGGGATTTCCAGGGTGTTTGAAGTGGTGAGGTCTGCAAGGGTTGGGCATAAGGGGGAGAAGGAACCAATGGGAGGCTAAAGTTCTGAGTTCCTGGAGTAGGAACAAGATGATTCACTGGAGGGAGAAGGGGGTGGGCCGGGGTGAGGGTGGGGTGGCTAATCGTAGCCCCATTGCTGTTACTTCTTCTGCTCTCACTGCTGCCCCTTTTCCTGTCTATCTTTGTGCCACTGTCCTTTCTTTCCTGACTACTTCTCCTCTGGCTCCTGTTGCCTGTCCAGACCACAACTCGGCGGCCCAAGGTGAGAAAATGGCCTCTGTGCAAGCCATTGCAGAGTGTACACAAAGTTCAAGCATGTGCATGTATGTGGCATGTGTATGACCAAGCAGGAGTTTGTCACAGTGCATCCTGGGTTCTCTTTTCATGGGAGTGAGGGGACTGAAGGTAGTGTGACAGATCACTCCTGGGGAAAAGACTCTGGCTTTTGGGAGGATGTCTGAGCCAGTTGTCTGAATGCAGGAGAGAAATGAGAGTGGTTGTGGATAAGGCAGGCTTTCTTGAAGAAGGGTGTTTGACTAGTTTTGATGGGGCAGGCATTGAAAGACAGGTGAAGAAGGACCTGGCCTCACAAATGTCAGGGGACAAGGAGGTAGGCGTGCTTGTCAGTACATGTGGTTTCTGAGCGTCAGAGCTTCCGAGCTCGGCACTCAGGCGAACACTGGGCAGGCCTGTCTGCTCTAAGGCCTGGGGCCTCGGCAGCTTCTCCGCCCAGCCCTGCCCAGGCCCGGGGGCGGCGCCTGATTAGAGCCTCTTCGTCTTGGAGGAGGAGGTGGCAGAAGGGTTGGCTGTGCTGGCCTTGTTTCAAGGGAGTGTCTGAGATACAACCTTCACCTTGGCCCTTGTACATGCAGGGTCCCCTAAAATAGACCAAAGGAGGGAGAGTCAGCCTGATTCCCAAAGAGCAGGGAGGGCCTAGCCGGGTGTAGAGCCTGGCACCCACATTTAGCCCAGTCTTCTTGGGGACTTGAAAGAGAACAAACTGCAGTCTATTCTTTCCCTGGAAATGACATCCAGGCCCTTTTTCTCTCTGGGGGAGGGGGCGTAGGCCCAGAGCATGATAGGATTGGGAGGACTAACCTGCTAGGATGATCACAAGTGGGTCTCAGAAGGGAGTCCTGGGGAGTAAGGGATCCTGCTCTGAGGGGACAGTGCTGGGGCTGGGAGGAATGTGGGGCCAGTGCCAAGGGAGGAGCCTTATAATCTAATGTCTTCCTCCATCCCTTCTCCCCCTCCCCTCCACCTCCCTCTCTCCTCCCTGTCCTTTGTCACTATCTCTGACTGTGTCATTTTCTTTCTTCCCTTCACTGTTTCTCTGTTCTCATTGTACTTTATACTCTCTGCCTTTTTCCTTTTCTGTCTCCTTCCCTCGCCATATTCTCATATTCTGTCCTTTTCTCTTTCACAACCTCTGTCCCCTACTCTTTCTCATCTGCCCCTACCCTCTGAATAGCCCACCCGTCCAGCTAGTAGTACTGGGGTGGCCGGAGCCAGTAGCTCCCTGGGCCCCTCCGGCTCAGCATCAGCAGGGGAGCTGAGTAGCAGTGAGCCCAGCACCCCGGCTCAGACTCCACTGGCCGCACCTGTCATCCCCACGCCGGCCCTCACCTCTCCTGGAGCAGCCCCCCCACTTCCTTCTCCCTCCAAGGTAAGTACTGGGGTGGGGTGAAGATGAGCCAAGACACAAAGAGGCCTGCAATCCTGGCAGGTCTTGGACATTTCCCAGGGCTGGGGGAGATCCAGAACTTGGATTAGAAGGGCTGGGACAAGGCATTTGGGTACCCTGCCATCGACTAAGCTACGCTTTCTCTGTCCTCCTTCATACTTTCCCCGTATGTTTGGTCTCTTCTCAGATATTTATATGCCACTTGCTTTTGAGTCTGGGGCTGGAATGATGTTTGCACCCATTCTTATCCTTTCTCCTCCAGCTTAGACGAATAAGCTCTAGTGGGGAGGAGGGGGACACTGTGCGCAGAACAAGGGGTCTCTTTGCAGGAGGAGGAGGGGCTGAAGGCCCAGGTACGGGACCTGGAGGAGAAACTGGAGACCCTGCGGCTGAAACGGGCAGAAGACAAGGCAAAGCTGAAAGAGCTGGAGAAGCACAAGATCCAGCTGGAGCAGGTGCAGGAATGGAAGAGCAAAATGCAGGAGCAGCAGGCAGACCTGCAGCGGCGTCTCAAAGAGGCGAGGAAGGTGCGACTCGGAGGAAGGAGGTGGCTGGGAGGCCTGGGGCCCGAGACAGCGTACTGGAAACTCAGCGGGAGCTGGAGCCTGGAACATTCTGTGAGATAAGGCACATGAGGCATTTCTGTACCTGTGCCTCCACCAACCTCTTCCCCCCAGGAAGCCAAGGAGGCGCTGGAAGCAAAGGAACGCTACATGGAGGAGATGGCCGACACCGCCGACGCCATCGAGATGGCCACTCTGGACAAGGAGATGGCCGAGGAGCGGGCCGAGTCCCTGCAGCAGGAGGTGGAGGCGCTGAAGGAGCGTGTGGATGAGCTCACCACTGACCTGGAGATTCTCAAGGCTGAGATTGAAGAGAAGGGTAAAGGGCCCGGAGCTGCGGGGGCTCGGATGGTGGGGTTGGAATCACGTCTGAAGGTGTCCATGGTTTTCCTCAGGCTCAGATGGGGCTGCATCCAGTTATCAGCTCAAGCAGCTCGAGGAGCAGAACGCCCGCCTGAAGGATGCCCTGGTGAGGTAGGTCCCCTCACCGCTGTGCAGGTGCGTGAGAGCGCCCATTGCCCAGTGTCTCTGACACGCACTCCCTCTTCTTTCTCCCTGATTCCCACAGGATGCGGGATCTTTCTTCCTCAGAGAAGCAGGAGCACGTGAAACTCCAGAAGCTCATGGAAAAGAAGAACCAAGAGCTGGAAGTTGTGAGGCAGCAGCGGGAGCGTCTGCAGGATGAGCTGAGCCAGGCAGAAAGCACCATTGATGAACTCAAGGAGCAGGTGTGGGGAGCCCAGCCTCTCGCCCAGAGTCCCCCTATAGGTCCCTCCAGACTCCTGTGGGGGCCTCCTCTCTCTAGGCACCTTCCAGCAGCCCGTCTCCCATTCCTTCCCTGGGACACAGGTGGATGCTGCTCTGGGTGCGGAGGAGATGGTGGAGATGCTGACAGACCGGAACCTGAACCTGGAGGAGAAAGTGCGGGAATTAAGAGAGACCGTGGGGGACTTGGTAAGAGGAGAGCAGAGCATGACTTCTGACCCTCATGAAGGGACTAGCTAAGAGAGAGGGATTGACACATGACCCCTGACCTTTGAGCAGGGTGTATGGTGAGTGGGCCCACCCTGCCTGCTACCCTGACCTTGCCTTTGCTTTGCCCCAACTTCCCCCTGGTCTCTCAGGAAGCAATAAATGAGATGAACGACGAGCTGCAGGAGAATGCACGTGAGACGGAACTGGAGCTGCGGGAGCAGCTGGACATGGCGGGTGCCCGGGTACGGGAGGCCCAGAAGCGTGTGGAGGCGGCCCAGGAGACAGTTGCAGACTACCAGCAAACCATAAAGAAATACCGCCAGCTGACCGCCCACCTGCAGGTGCCTGTTCACCCCTGCTCTCCACCCAGGATCACCCAGGCCTCCCTCATGACCCAGCTGTGCCTCACTGTCCATCTCTGCTCCCAGGATGTGAATCGGGAACTGACAAACCAGCAGGAAGCATCTGTGGAGCGGCAGCAGCAGCCACCCCCGGAGACTTTTGACTTCAAAATCAAGTTTGCTGAGACGAAGGCCCATGCCAAGGTCAGGAAAGCAAGTGGGCCAGAGAGGGGAGAGTGCTGGGAGCTCAGCTTGAGCGCGGTGTGGACTGACCTGGTGTGGGGCTCCTGGAGGAGGGGAAGCAGGGGACCTGGGGGAACAAGGCAACACGGGTCTGGGACTCTCTCAGCCTGGCTGAGAGCCCGCCTTTCTGTCCACCTCACAGGCAATTGAGATGGAACTGAGGCAGATGGAGGTGGCCCAGGCCAACCGGCACACATCCCTGCTGACAGCCTTCATGCCCGACAGCTTCCTTCGGCCAGGAGGCGACCATGACTGCGTCCTGGTGCTGCTGCTCATGCCCCGTCTCATTTGCAAGGTACGGCCACACGTTCGGCAGGAACCTGCTGAACTTGCTGCAAGGAAGCCCAGTGAAGCTGCAGTCAGCGCCGCTACTCACACAGTGTATGATGTAGTGGAGGGATGTAGTCAGCAGAGTTGTAGATGGGGCCTGCTATGAAGGGGAGGTAGCTTCTTTGAGAGTGCACAGTTGGGGAGCTGATCTAGATGGAGGGATGTCTCTGAGGAATACCATTTGAGCTAAGACCCAGAAGATGACTACGAGTGGAGGTTGCGGGGTGTAACGGACAGGGAGCATGCTGGTGGAAGGGTAGCAGGCAGCAGCTTGGAGCTTGCAGGAAAGAGCTTGGTCCCACTGGTTCCCAGTCCCTTCATCCCCACATCTCAAATCTTCACAGCTCAGTAATCACCACGTCATTGCCCTTTCTCCAGGGGAGACTTCCTGCCCAGCTAAGAGCTGTTTCTGTTTTATCTCCTTCTCCCACCCTTGCCATAGTTGCTCACCTGTGTTCTGTATTCCTGAGTCTGTCCTCCATCCCCTGCTCTGAGCCCAGGTCCCTGACACTTCTTCCCACAGGCAGAGCTGATCCGGAAGCAGGCCCAGGAGAAGTTTGAACTAAGTGAGAACTGTTCAGAGCGGCCCGGGCTTCGAGGAGCTGTGGGGGAGCAGCTCAGCTTTGCCGCTGGGCTGGTGTACTCGCTGAGTCTGCTGCAAGCTACACTCCACCGCTATGAGCAGTAAGTGAGCCCTGACCCCCATTCAAGGCCGCAGGTTCCAGATTGGTTGGAACTGGGATTGCCTGGCAGACCCTGGCCTCACGGGGCCCTTCTTTGGTCTCTAGTGCCCTTTCTCAGTGCAGCGTGGATGTGTACAAGAAGGTGGGCAGCCTCTATCCTGAGATGAGTGCCCATGAGCGCTCCCTGGACTTCCTCATTGAGCTGCTGCACAAGGACCAGCTGGATGAGACTGTCAACGTCGAGCCTCTCACCAAGGCCATCAAGTACTACCAGGTTTGTGCGAGGATTCCAGCTTGGCGCAGCAGGGAGGGGAGGGTTCTCATTCTGCGCTGCAGCCAGTGTAGTCAAGGTCGTGTGCCTAAGGCTCAGCTCACTGTAGCTGAACTTGCCTGAAACCTCTTGGGGGTTTCAGGTCCTCTGGTACCCCTGGAGCCCTGTGATGACTGGGAGTCAAACTGTTTGGGAACAGCCGAAACCGGTTTGGCTCAGTGATAGAGCGTCGGTCTGCGGACTGAAAGGTCCCAGGTTCGATTCCGGGCAGGGGCATGTATGTTGGTTATGGGCACATCCCCAGTAGGGGGTGTGCAGGAGGCAGCTGGTCGATGTTTTTCTCTCATCAATGTTTCTAGCTATCTCTCTCTCTCTTCCTCTCTGTAAAAAATCAATAAAAATATATTAAAAAAAAAAAAAACGCACAAAAAACAAAAAAAACTATTTGGAACAATTCTCCATTCTTCCAAGACCTGAAGGTTGTCTGTTTCTTTGTCAACTCTCAGCATCTGTACAGCATCCACCTTGCCGAACAGCCTGAGGACAGTACCATGCAGCTAGCCGACCACATCAAGGTGAAGTGTCTGGGCTGGTGGTTAAACCCCCTGTACAGGTCAAGAGGTCTGGCCCTCAGGGTTCACCTAAGACCGGAACAGCATCCCTAAGGCCAGATCAGGGAAGCCAGAGAACCTGCTTATGTATGGGGGTCAGCATAAAGTGGGAACTCCTTAGAGGTGATGAGGGTTCCTAATGGGTGCTGACAAGCACGTGCTTCTGTCCTCACAGTTCACCCAGAGTGCCCTGGACTGCATGGGCGTGGAGGTGGGACGGCTGCGTGCCTTCTTGCAGGTAAAAGCACAGCTGGATCTCTTTGAGCTCCTCTGCCTCCTCACCGTCAGCTGATGCTGACTTTGTTCCCCATCCACTTCCTATTCCCTGAGTAGGGTGGGCAGGAGGCTTCAGACATTGCCCTCCTGCTCCGGGACCTGGAAACGTCATGCAGTGACATCCGCCAGTTTTGCAAGAAGATCCGAAGGCGAATGCCAGGGACAGATGCTCCTGGGATCCCAGCGGCTCTGGCCTTTGGACCACAGGTTTAGGGCAGCGACGGGGAAGGGAAGGAAGCTGAGTAGAACCAGGAGGGGATCAGTATGTCCAAGTCGGGATCTGGTTGGGGCAAGAATGGTTTTGAGGTAGCTGGGAGCTGTGGTACTGGACCCGAGCGGCTCCTGACTCTGGCCTGTTGCACAGGTGTCCGACACACTCCTGGACTGCAGGAAACACTTGACATGGGTGGTGGCTGTGCTGCAGGAGGTGGCAGCTGCTGCCGCCCAGCTCATTGCCCCTCTGGCGGAGAACGAGGGACTGCCTGTGGCTGCCCTGGAGGAGCTGGCTTTCAAAGCAAGCGAGCAGGTGGGCCTGGATGGCTGGGCGGAAGGTGGTAGAGGAGTCAGGTGGCCGGAGTGAGGTTTTCACTGCTGCCCTTGGCCCCACAGATCTATGGGAGCCCCTCCAGCAGCCCCTATGAGTGTCTGCGCCAGTCATGCACCATCCTCATCAGCACCATGAACAAGCTGGCCACAGCCATGCAGGAGGGAGAGTACGATGCCGAACGGCCCCCCAGCAAGGTTGGGTGGGAGCTCCTCGGAGGGACTCAGGGGCCTGGAGGAGCAGAGCTGCTGCTGGTTGTGGGAGGCTGGAGGTGGAGGAAGGAATCTGGAGAGCACCATCCTGCTTAGAAGGCAAGATGGGTTCTCTGAAGCACATTGGTGATGTCCTCTCCCTCACTCCCACCTCGGCCCTCAGCCTCCCCCTGTCGAGCTGCGGGCTGCAGCCCTTCGTGCAGAGATCACGGATGCCGAAGGCCTGGGCCTGAAGCTTGAAGACCGAGAGACAGTTATCAAGGAGCTGAAGAAGTCACTCAAGATCAAGGTGAGGGGTGGGGAGGCTCAGGATCTGGGGGCCAGGGAGTATTGGGCACAGGGCAACCGAGTGTGGGGATCAGGCTGAGATGGGCGATGGGTTGGGTTGAGGGCGGATCAGTAGGAGCTCAGTGGGCTGTTAGGGAGCTTTGTGTCCGTGGTCTGCCCTGGGCCCCGGAGGGGTTGTGGAGGATGTAAAGCTACGAGGAACTCTGCCCTGGCCCAGGGGGAGGAGCTGAGCGAGGCCAATGTGCGGCTGAGCCTCCTGGAGAAGAAGCTGGACAGCGCGGCCAAAGACGCTGACGAGCGCATTGAGAAGGTCCAGACGCGGCTGGAGGAGACGCAGGCCCTGCTGCGGAAGAAGGAGAAGTGAGCCTTTCCCCGGCCCTGCTTGCTCCAGCCGCCCTCCCCCGGCAGCTCTGCCTCCCAGCTATCCCTCCCACCGCCAGACTCCCCCGGCCAACAGTCACCGCTTTCCTCGCCCACGGCCATTATGTCACCAGCCGGTGACCTGCCAGGGACCTCCCCCACGAAGGGACACTGCCCCAGCCCGATTCTCTGCCACAGAGACTTCGAGGAGACAATGGATGCACTCCAGGCCGACATCGACCAGCTAGAGGCAGAGAAGGCAGAGCTGAAGCAGCGGCTGAACAGCCAGTCCAAGCGCACGCTCGAGGGGCTCCGGGGGCCCCCTCCTTCGGGTATTGCCACCCTGGTCTCTGGCATTGCTGGTGGTGAGTGCAGTGGGACAGGCAGCCCTGGCCCACAGGAGATTGAAGGGCTTCCCTCCGGCTTGTGGCCTCAGTTTTACTTTTGTTCCTTCTTACCCCTGGATGTGAAGCCAGGAAGATGTTTGCCCAGTTTCACCACGATTTCACTCCCCCCGAAGACACGTGCAGAGTCCCTCTGACCAAGGTGGGGCATTACCAAGTGGTCAGTGCAGCTCAGAGTTACGGTGGCATCCGACTCTAGTAGCTGTCCCTCCTGGCTCTGCAGGCTGGCCTTTCTGACCAAGCCCCGTATCCTGAGGGCCACCAGCCTGCAGGAGGCTGGTGATGCTGTGGCTCCAGCAGGGCCTGATGCTGCTCTTGATTGCTCTTCGGTTTGGGCTCCTTTCCCCAGAGTCCAGGTGGCTTCACCCTCTGATGAGGCTGGCCCCTCATGGCTGACTTCTCTCAGTTTCACTGGGGCTTATGTTCGGACCTTGGCCTGGTCTCGTAGTGTGGCCAGGGCTCCTTACCTTGAGTTTGTCTGGTTCGTCCCCAGTTTCCTGACCAAGGAAGTGACCACCTCCATCTTAGTTCTCACCTGCCCTAGAGCTTGCTTATTGCTCTCTCTTCATTAGCCATCTCATCTCTGGAAGACACGCTCTAGAATTGAGCCCTGTTCTACCCTCCTGCTTCCCACACGTCTTGTCAGCTGCTCTCACCTAGGTCTTGTCCTCATCAAAGCCCCTTGCCACTGGCACCTCTTGATCTTGAGAGGTGACCAAGAACCTCCTTGACTGTAGACTTCCGTGGTGCAGATGGCTCCAGTTCCTTGGGGAGGGGGAGGTGTTTCAGAGCAGTGGGGAGCTGAGGAGCACAGGAATGCATCTGCATCCTCAATGTAAGCTTTGCAACTGGGAGAAGGAGGGGCACCGATATGTCAGGTCTCGGGAGTGTCCCCTCTGCCCTTCCTGGAGATGGAGTCGGAGGCAGAGATGGACGCTGGAGCAGCCTTATGCCCCAGGTGCTTCCTCCACGCACAGCCCACTGCACTCTGGCTCCCAGGTCACACCCTGCCTCAAGGCCTCACTCCCCTTTCCTATCTTTCTTTCCCACACACTTGCTCTTCCCTCTGAGGTGGAGGGCAGAGAGAGTCTTGTCAGAGAAGACAAGGTGGTCAGGAAAAAAGCTTTTCCTGCAGGTGTGTCCCCCTCACCCTCAAATCTCCTAATTCCCCTCTCTCTCTCCTGCTGCCGTGGGCTCTCCTGAGCACAGAGGAACCACAGCGAGGTAGAGCCCGCCCGGCTGGGGTTGCCAGGGCTGGTGGGATTTGGGGCCTGGGGAGCAGCCAGTACTGGGGGTGGGAGGAGCTAACGAAAGGGATGAGCATGGATGGCGTTTGTTGTGGCATTACAGGAGGCTCGCCTGGGCAGGCATCTGGGTCTATGCCAGGCTCGGGGCTGGTGAAGGACTCGCCGCTGCTGCTTCAGCAGATCTCTGCCATGAGGCTGCACATCTCCCAGCTTCAGCATGAGAACAGCATCCTCAAGGTGAGGGGGTCACGGGAGGACCGGGATGGAGGTGGCGCATACCTGTCCCATCGATGATGGATGTCAGGGCCTTCTGTCACTCCTTGCCACCATCCCTCTTCCCCCGCACAGGGCGCCCAGATGAAGGCCGCCTTAGCAGCCCTGCCCCCTCTGCACGTGGCAAAGCTCTCCTTCCCACCCCGTGAGGGCTCTGGCAGTGAGCTGGCCCCTGGAGCGCTGTATCGTAAGACTAACCAGCTGCTGGAGACGTTGAATCAGCTGAGCACGCACACCCACGTTGTAGACATCAGTCGCACCAACCCGGGTATGGGCCCATCAGCCCTGGTATGGACCCGCCAACCCCCGGGACGAGGAACACACCCGCCCTTGCCCCAGGGATGTAGCCCCTGGCCAGGCAGTGCCCACACTGCTCTTTGGTCTAGTGTTAAGTTTACGTGATCCATCACTGTTATGTGCCTGCTCCTTAAGAGGGTCCAGTACCTGCACTGCTGGCCTGGGCCATGGTGGGCCTCACCAGCCTTTTCTCCCACAGCTGCCAAGAGCCCATCGGCCCAGCTCCTGGAGCAAGTGGCTCAGCTCAAGTCCCTAAGCGACACCATCGAGAAGCTCAAGGTCAGCTCTGACCCAGTCCTTCCTCCCCCTACAGAGTTTGCTCTGGAGCATTCCCTGGTGGAGCCTTAGCTCGTTCATTTCCATAGGCATTCCCAGAGTCCCCTGGCCCAGTCCTGTGCAATGGCATGTGGCAGGGGAGGTGGAAGGGAAAGCAAGGTTCCTGCCTTGGATGCTCACTGTCTCGGTGCAAATAGAGGGCAGATTCTCGTCAGCAAAGTGGGCTGAGCCGGGTCACGTTAGAGTTCAGGAGCAGCTCTGTCGGCCGAGATCTTCGCAGGTTGAAGGGTTGGGCCTTAGGGTTAGTCTCTACAACATCAGGATGTTGGGGTGGGAATGGGACAGGTGAGAGCAGAAAGGATAGGAAGGCTGGGCCCCTGTCCCTGGCATTAGTGTCCCTGTGACCTAATGGGCTACCTGTGGGGGGTCCCCTAAACGAACCCTTGTTCCCCCTCTGCCGTCAGGATGAGGTCCTCAAGGAGACTGTGTCGCAGCGCCCTGGAGCCACAGTCCCCACGGCCTTTGCCACCTTCCCTTCCTCAGCCTTCCTCAGGGTAAGCGGGAGCATGGGGATGGGGAGGGGCAGTGTGGAGGCTCAGGTGGGTCCTTCCCTCTCCCCCAGAAATTGAAGAGGCCTCTGGGGTCTCAGGCCCAGAGTTCTTGCACTGCTTCCAGCAGGCGCGCTGCTTTAGTAGTTTAAGCTCTCCTCTGCCTTTTGACGCTGGAAGGAGCTCTAAACTCCATTGTCAGACTGTGTGCCCCAGTTCTTATTTGGAAAACGTAATCACCATAGCCCAGGAGCCCCAAAACCTGTCCCCAGGGACCACCTTGGTCTCCAGGCTCAGGGCCCCTGACAAGGGGGTCTCTCCTCACCTACTCCCAGGCCAAGGAGGAGCAGCAGGACGACACTGTCTACCTGGGCAAAGTGACCTTCTCGTGTGCGGCTGGCCTCGGACAGCGGCACCGGCTGGTGCTGACGCAGGAGCAGCTGCACCAGCTGCACGGCCGCCTCATCTTCTAAGTGCTCCTTCCCCGCTGGCCCCGCCGCCCGATGGACGGCCGCTCAGCCGGCCCAGGTAGAAGCGTGTGTGTAAGCTGTTCTGGCCCCAGTTCAGCTTCACTCCATCTGCCAGTGCCCTGTCCTCCCCGTGACCTGGGTTCCCTGATTTCCGGCCCCGGGCCTCTGCCGTGTGCTCTCTCCTCCGGAGGGGCATCAGGGCATGTGGGGGAGAGGCTGAGACCCCACCACCAAAGGCTGCATGAGGTCCCCCGACTGAGGACTTCACCCCTTGATTAAAGCAACGTCTGCTTCAATGCTTCCTGTGTGGTGTTGGCCGTGGGTCCCGGGCCATTCGGCTCCGAGCAAGATGGAGGAGAAGGGATGCTGTGCCGTGTTTGGGCCCCCTCTGTAGTGACCAGTGGAACGCTGTGTCAATCAGAGTCACACGCAGTATCTTACTGTGAGCGGGGAGAAAGCATAGACCCAGGCTCGGCACCTCTTCATTTGTGGAGCAAGAAGGCGCAGCTGTCAGCCCCTGCTTCCTGGGCCTTCCCTGCTCTTCAGGCCGGTGGTGGAGCTGGGCTAACGATGTGGTCACTCCCCCGCCAGCGTTCTGAGGCACTGGCTGTGTCTGCGCATGAGACCTAGGGTCCCTCTGAGGGAACATTGGCCAAGTGAGGGAAGACCAAAGTAGCAGACTGGTGAGGAAGAAGTTGCAAAGTCCCTGACAAATTAGTGTCTGGGGCGTTTCTTTAACTAATGTACACATTTCTGAGCCCTGACCCAGACCTGCTGAAATCACATAGATTTAAGGCCCTTAGGCCAGGACCCCAGCATTTTAGAGCTTAGACCAGTTAGTCTAGTTCTCTTATTCTTCCCCAAGGCCTCCGATCCAGTTGGAGGAAGAGCCCCATGGCACTTAGGAGCATCTCCAGCAAGGCCAGGCCTCTCTGCGTGCTTCCTCCAGGGCAGGAGGGAAGCCAACAGGATGAGGAGTTGGAGCCCAATGCCCATAGCACTGGGCACGTGTCCAGTTGAGCACCATCTGGGGAGGGCAGACTCTCTCTGGTGTCTGATAGCTGTGCTGTACCTTAGCCTTTCTCACCTGGAGTTCCAAGAGAAAACCATCTGGTGACTTTCCTCAGGACTCTCAAGGGTGCTTCGTAGCTAACACCATTCTAGATGCACAGGAGAGAATCTGCTCCACACGAGGGACACGGTGGGGCGTTAGGGCTTAATTCTCACAGAACTGATTGAGAAGGGCTGCTGTGTCTCCATACCAGAGTCTGCACCTCACCTCTCCTAACCAGGCTTCTGGAAGGCCAGGACACGGCAGCCACTGCCCTTCCTTTGGGATTGGATTGCGTTCCTGTCCTCCTTGCCCAAGCAAGCTGCTGGCCTGCCCTCTGTTGGTGGTTAAGGCACTGAGGGCAGCTCCCAGAGGCTGGTTGAAAAGAGGACAGGGCTTGTTCCTTCTTTTGCCTCGGGCTCACCGCTGCTCTCCCAAATGCCAGACTCACTCACCCGGTTGCCTCAACATCAGCATATCTAAGCCAGAAATCATCTTCCATGTCCTGGGTGCGATGAGTCACAAACCTGGATTTCTGACGCCTTCTTTGCTCTCTGTAGCTAATTTAGTTACTCAGTCCTGTTTAGTATTTCCTTCATTACTATCTCTCAAATCTGCTCCCTTCTTTCCAACCCTCCGCTGCTAACTTTGTGTACAATTTCTTGCTCTGTGTTCTTCAGCAGTCTGTCAGCTGGTCACTACCTCCCTTGTCTCCTCTCAACCAGTTCTCGTTGGTGCCAGAGGCACCTCTCAGAGTGCAGACTGGGCCATGCCACTCCCTGCTTTAAAGCCTCAAATGGTTCTTCCAACTAGAATTGGAAATGGAAATTCACTAGAGTGGCACATCCCTGATTTGGGTCTCGTCCAGCCTCTCATACAACATATGCTTTAGTTGTGTACATCTTAACTTTCATTTTCAATGGGTCAGCACTTCGAATATATTCTATATTATCCTGAGAATACAAACAATACAACATGGAGAAGACAGAGAACAGTATCCCAGGACTTGGTCACTGGTGAGAATAGTAACATTCATCGATTCCTTTAAATACAATAGCAATCCTTATTTTAAGCTAAGTGCAACAATAATTGAATACAATATAGCTAAATACATACAATTTGTATACCCTGTACTACAGGGAGTCGGGGGAGTGGTTTTCCATAGCCGTATTTGGTTTCAGGGCCTTTGGACATCTCAGATACCTGTTTTGCTCACTTGAAATGATTCTGCAAAAGGATATTAAAAGCATTGTACTGCTGTATGAAGGGAATACCAATGAAAGCACTATGCCCAGTGTCCATCCAGGAACCAGATTACAGTGTAGAAGCTAGAATCTGTCACTGTCTCCTCAACAGTGCTAGGGCATTCTGGTGCCTGAGCAAAGAGCTCACGTGATATTGATTTTTTAGGAAATCAGAGAGGAAGGAAGAGGGATAGAAAGAAACATCGATGATGAGATCAGCTGCCTCTTGCACACGTGATATTTTAAACTCATGACACAGGCACTCTTCCCATTTAAAATGACTTCCCATGACCAGTCTAAGCAGACTGGGCCAAATCCTAGCCTGTATCTGCTGCCGGAAGCCATGGCAGAATAGAAAATGTGGGCATACAGCTCCACATGCAAACGAGGCTGTACTCTGGGAGGGGCTAATTCCTATCCCAGTGGGGTTAGTCAAGGTCACCATCTGGGTGGGGTAAACTATTGGGGTGGCTGTAGGTGAAATTCTGGGTGAGGTAGGGGTTGGTCTCTCGATGGGTTGGCATACAGGTATTTCTAGGTTTTTATTTCCTAACAATGAATGAAAAAAAAAAAACTTTTGAAAATGTCAGAACAATTGGAATGATGGGCCTATGTTTAGATAGTAACTTAGCTGATTTAACATGCTTTGAAAATTATATGATGACTAATGGTCCAATGTTTCTTGCCTTTCTTTTTTTAAAAATATATTTTATTGATTTTTTTTTTTTACAGAGAGCAAGGGAGAGGGATAGAGAGTTAGAAACATTAATGAGAGAGAAATGTTGATCAGCTGCCTCCTCACACCCCCTACTGGGGATGTGCCCACAACTAATGTACATGCCCTTGATTGGAATCAAACCCGGGGCCCTTCAGTCCGAAGACCGATGCTCTGAACCAAATCAGTCAGGGCTGTTCCTTGCCTTTCTCAGGGAAGTGAAGAGAGGCCATCAGATTGTGACCCTCCCATATGACAAGGGAGCTTAGGTATGGCAGCTCCTCTGGAGCTCTAGGTCTCCTGAGTACTTGGCAGCCAAGGGCACCCCCTGGTTTAGAAAGACCCTTGGCGGGCCCTTCGGCAGCGGCGGCACTAATGGCTTGTCCAGTTTTCGTAAAAAGTGAAAGCCATGCTGAAACCGGTTTGGCTCAGCATTGGTCTGTGGACTGAAGGGTCCCAGGTTCGATTCCGGTCAAGGGCATGTACATTGGTTGTGGGGGGCGTGCAGGAGGCAGCTGATCCATGTTTCATCGATGTTTCTGGCTCTCTATCCCTCTCCCTTCCTCTCTGTAAAAAATCTATAAAATATATATTTTAAAAAATGTGAAAGCCAGGCCGTTTTGCAAGAAGTGACACTTCTGTCTTTAGTGGGAAAGGTCAGGCCAGGGCTGGTCATTCTGGCAGGCAACCAGGACCTCAAACAATTGAGCAAGGACCGAAGGTAGGACTGGACCTCATGTACTGAAGGAGTAAAAACAACTTGCTTACCAAGTTGTGAAATGGAACTTTGTTTTCCAAAGCCCCAGGGAACAAAATCCAATATACATCACTTAAAACCCGTCTTGATACTCGTTTGTAAAAAATGAAGAGGCCAAAGGTCACCGCGGGGAAACTGGGATGAGTTGGTCACATAGTCTGGCGTCTTTGGTTCCATGGATCAATGAGAGGAAGTAGGATGTGGGGTGACTGGTATTTCAGCCACGGCCTCTGAAACACAGCTTTCCACAAGGCTGCTGTTCATGGCCCTGGGCCCCAGGGTGTGGTCGCTTCACCGAGGAGAACTTGGCCTTACCTAGGGAGAGAGTGAGGACTTTAAACCAGAAGCTACATTTCCTACCTGAAAGGGAAAGTAAACCACAAGATATGGGCCTGCAGACACTCAGAATCCACAGAAGGGCCTGAGGAAAAAAGAGGCAGAGTTCATTTTTATTTTTTATTTTTTTAATTTTATTTATTTTTTTTAAAAGAAAAGACTTTTTAAAATATATATATATTTTATTGATTTTATATAGAGAGTAAGGGAGAGAGATAGAGAGTTAGAAACATCGATCAACTGCCTCTTGCACACCCCTTACTGGGGATATGCCCACAACCAAGGTACATGCCCTTGACCTGAATCGAACCCAGGACCTTTCAGTCCCCAAGCCGACGCTCTATCCATTGAGCCAAACCGGTTTCAGCCAGAGTTCAATTTTAAATGGAGCTTCCAACCCTGCTCTTTCTCCAATGTCTAGGAGCCCACGGGCAAGTAGTATTCTCTGAGCCTTATATCTGCAAGGTTGGGGATGAAATTCTCTTTTCATAGGACAGCTGAGAGTTAGATGAGGGAAGGCGTGTGTAGTACCAGGCCCAACACCCGGCACTTAGATTTGCCTCACTGCTGGAGATTTCCCAGAATGCTCCTCTTCACCTCCCACACTTACTTCCTGCTCACTGTCTCTTCCTTTGTTCCTCTCTCCAAACGTCCTGTTGCCCACTTCTTCCTCCTCATCAGATCTTTCCTACTTACTGAAGAGGAATTAATAAAAATGAGGCCAAAATCAGCATAAAATTTAGAAAAACCATCCATAATGTTTTTTTCTTTCAGGGTTTGATTTGTTCAAATGACTTATTGTCCTTGTCTATATCATTCTCTGAAGAATCAGGATTTGGGGTTAAAGAGCTAGAGTGGAGGTAGGACTTGGGAGGTTCAGGCCCATGGGGAAAGGAGGCA